CTGTGTGTGCATTTTTTCCCCCTGAACTTATTGAGAGTAAGTGGCAAACATGCTGAATCATTATCCTAAATCCTTCAGGGCATACTTTCTAAAAGACAAGGCTTCTCTCCTACATAGGAACAAGCACCTAAGTCAATAAATTAACATTGATATAATACTACAAACTGAGGTAAATTTTTGAAGTGAGAGAATGCTCAAAATACAAAAAAAAGGTTAATATAATTTTTAAGTGAAAAGATAAAGGCATAACAATACAGTGTTAATGCAGATTCATTTATAATCCTACTCTAAGCAAGTACTATGCATTAATTATTAATTTTTAAGTAACATTTCCTATTAATATGTTACATTAGCTGTATTAAGACTGATATGTAATTGTGTGTGTGTAAACTTGTGGCTAAGTAGAATGTGCATTAAAACATTTTTAAAATCAGAACAATTAATAAAATATGAAGTAGTGCCATACTCTTCTGCCTGAATGGAATCTGCAGGGGCTACATAATTGCTAGGAATATAGCCATTCTTTCCTGTAGCAATTGATCTTGCTTCCCACCAGTCTCCTTCCCTGCAACACATAAAACAACAGTTACCACAAGGTAGACTACTGCTTAAGATAGATGTACTGCAGTGTTGTCTTGTAGCTGAAGCATACATTTTTTAAATTATGCATTCATGTGATCAAGAATCAACTCGAAGGATAATATTTAAAAATAGGTTATATGAATTAAAGGAATAAAGCTAAGCAAAAGCACAATTACATTTCTGCTTCAAAGCAAAACAAAAAAAATTACACTTTTAGTTACATTACTCTTTCAACCTAAGACAATAAACTATACTGAATAAGACAATTTGGAAGGTAAATCTTTCAAATTATTCATTTTTAATTAAATGTTCTATAAAATTCCGCCATTTGAGATGTACAATTTAGTGCGTTTTAATATATTCACAGAGCTGTACAACTATCCCACAATCAATCTTAGAATGTTTTCAATACCCCAAAAAGAAACCTCATATCCATTAAGAGTCATCCTCCCATCCCTCTTCTGTCCCACCCCCACCAATGCCATCCACTAATCCACTTTCTGTTTTTATGGATATACCTATTGTGGGCATTTCATATATATGCAATCATATAATAGATGATCTTTTTGACTGGCTTCTTTTACATAGCATAATCTTTACAAGGTTCACCTATGTTATGGCATGTATGAGCAGCTCATTCTTTTTTATTTATTTTTAACAATGTATAAAATTATGATCTTCCTTTTTAGTCATTTTAGGGGGAAAAATCAGAACGCTCTAGAACTCCTGTAGCCAAAATCTTAATGGGCAATAACAACAAAAAATTTAATTCTTAGAATATATACAAAAATACTATCCTTAAATATACAAGTAAGACTATAAGCAATTCACAACTCAAGAACTATATGTAATTTGGAAAACATAAGCCTTGACTTTTCCAAAATTAATGTGGAAGAAAAAAATATCAGTCTCTAATGAGCAAAATACAAAAATGGGTTCCACTACTAAAAATTAAATGCATGTTTTGCTTTAACAGTGAGAAATGCTGAAAATATTTTATTGAAATTGAAATCTTATAAATACTTGAGGTACATTTACTTTCTAGAAAACGAAGTGGAAAATCCTTTGGTAATTCAAATACTTATAAATTCATATACCTGGTTTGTAGTTTCCTACTAACCATTCACTGATTCATTCAAACATTTATTGAATACCTTCTTAAGTGACAGACTTTATGAAAGGGTATGCTGAAAACAGGAGTAAAAAGATAGTCCTTACCCTCAAGAAACACAGTCTAGAGTAGGATTTCTCAACCTCAGCACTACTGACTTCTTAGACTAGATCACTCTTTGTTGTGGGGGCATGTCCTATGCATTGTAGGATCCTAGGATGCTGAGCAATATCCTTGGCCTCTACTCACTAGATGACAGTAGTAACAAACTGACTGGAACAACCAAAAATATCTCCAGACATTGCCAAATATGCCCTGGATGACTGTGCCACATGCTGACAACCACTGTTCTAAAAGAATAATATGCAAGTGATGTTATAATTTGAAAATGCAATGGCAGCTATGATTTAGGTTTGCATAGGATGCTATGTAAACATTTAAAAAAAACACTTGATCCAGCGAGAGGTAAGTACTGGGCCAGGCAGAAGGGGAAGAATGTCAGGAAAGGCTTCCTTGAGAAAGGACATAGGAATATACATTTTGAAGGATGAGTTGGGTTGACCATATAAAGAAGGGGGGGAGGGAAAGGAGAAATCACATTCCAGGAAAAAAATCATATATGTGAAGGCCTGGAGAAGGTGAAAAACCACAGAATATTCAGATAATCACAAGTAATTCAACATGGCTAGGCAGTGGAGTGAGAAAGGGGAAGAAGCTCAATGAATAATGCCCAATATTCTTGTTATTTTTCTTTATCCTGATGGCAACTGGTATCTATTAAAAGATTTTAAAGCAGAGAGACATGAACATATTTTATGTTCTGGAATAACAACTGGTAGCAAATGAGAATAAGGATGGAAGAAAACATGACTGGAAGCAAAAAGACCATAAATAAATATTTTAAAAAGTTACAAAGTAGCTGCTATGCTTGCTAATGAAATTATGGAATCTATTTTCCATAAATAACAATGGATTTTCTATGGTGGGCCACTAAATGACAAAAAGTTTAAGAGTCACATACAGAAAAAGCCACTTAATTTGGTCAGTTTGGGATTGCAGGGGTTCCTTACCTGGCCTTTTTCCTTTTTTTTTTTTTTGTAAGGAGAAACAGTTAAGATATTTAAATCATCTAGTACTTAGATAAATAGGAATATAGAATTCTCTTTATAAAGATTTTTTTTAAAAATATATATTTATTGATTTTTCAGAGAGAGGAAGGGACAGAGAGTTAGAAACATCGATGAGAAACATCAATCAGCCGCCTCCTGCACACCTCCTACTGGGGATATGCCCACAACCAAGGTACATGCCCTTGACCGGAATCGAACCTGGGACCCTTCAGTCCGCAGTCCTACGCTCTCTCCACTGAGCCAGAATCGGTCACGGCTATAAAGATTTTTTAAAGTAATGTACTTACTTACTTATACTCCCTCACTCTTCATTCTTAAATCTCTACTGTTTATGGCAGAACCACAGCAACACAATTTATAGAAGTAATAACTTCTGGCTACATCAGTAGTATTCTGCCATATGTCTAAAGAAAACAAATGCATTGTCCAACCGAATGGGCAGAGGTCCGCACCCCACTACTCTCATCTCTGAATCATTAACTAGCTCGGTGGTTTCAATGTAAAGACCAGGTGACTGTCAGTATTTCTCATTCGTAACACTTACGTATTGTTAATTATTTGAAATCTTTCACCCTTCTTAAATGAAAGGTCTTCCGTAGTTCTAGCTTCATAATCATATAAGGCCACAAATATAGTAACACCACCTATTGGAAGAAAAGAAGACCAAGGTAAATTATATAGATAAATTAACAGAAGAGAAATTAAAAATCACTGCCAGCAAAAAGGCTTAAGCATAGTTGTTGTTTTTTTTTCCTGGTCTAGAGTCTATTTTCGAAAGTTGGAAACTGGCATTTTCAAATTAATAAGATACTCTTTTTTTAAAAAAAATGTTTTATTGATTTTTTTACAGAGAGGAAGGGAGAGAGATAGTTAGAAATATCGATGAGAGAGAAACATCGATCAGCTGCCTCCTGCACACCTCCTACTGGGGATGTGCCTGCAACCAAGATATACGCCCTTGACCGGAATCGAACCTGGAACCTTTCAGTCCGCAGGCCGACGCTCTATCCACTAAGCCAAACTGGTTAGGGCAATAAGGTACTCTCTTAAGGCCTTCTATGGAAGTATTATACTCTACACATTTTAAAATTCAGACCCAGAGACACAAATTTGATTTTGATTCCCTGGCTTGAAAGACAAAGTTCAAATCACTTCTTTGGCGGAAAAAGCAACAAATTACAGGCATTGATTCTCTAAATTTCTGATAAACAATGAGTGAACATTTCAATCCTTAAAACTAATCATTAATAGTAATAACTAAGGTTTTAGTAAGATACTTTATTATGTTTAACATTCAAATATAAAAATGGCATGTTTTTCTTAGCAAATAAATTGTATGGCTGATATGACATAAATATAACTATCTTATATAGCATTGTGTGCAGATGCTTAAGAGATTAGCACACTTACACAGCCAAACTATTATCTGCAAACAAAACAAAGAATAAAACAGATTATTTCATTTATCTGGCTTCCAGTCATATAATACTACCTCTTTTACATGTCTACCTAATGTCTAAGAAGCATTTAAAACTTATTAGTTACAAAAACAAAGGTGTTGATTTTTCTCCTCTAACCTGTTACCTGAGTCTTCCCTACCTAAGCAAATGGGATTACTAACCAACCAGGTACTCAAGACAAGTGGTTCTACCTCTAAAATATCTACTTCCTTTTCCATTTCTACTGCTGCCACCCTAATCCAAACTCTTGTTCGTTCTCACTGGGACTTCTGGGACTATTGATAGTAGTAGCCTCCTAACTCATTGTTTATCAGCTTCCCTACATCTGCCAGAATGAGTTTCTTTTAAAAGGCAATTCAATCATCAAAATCCTTAACTGAAATGTCTTCAATAGCTTCTTTCTGGCTCTGAATAAAACCCAAACTTCTTACTAGTCTACAAGGTCCTGAGTAATCCTGACTCTTTAATCCCAAATCACACAATTCTACCCTCCGTTCATATAGGCCTCCTTACTACTCTTCAAAAACTGCCAGGTCCATGTGTACCTCCTAAACTTAGCAGAAAGCTCTTTTCCCAGTTCTGCATAGGTTTAGATCATTCTCAATAATGAAACAGCTCAAATAATTTCTTGTCAAGATGCCATTCCTTGATCATCTAAAAGGCCTTCACCAATGTTCTGGTTAGTTCTTTCACAGCATTTGAGAACTGTTAATCACACTGAATAGTTGTTTATATAATTACTGTCCAACCCTTTAGGGCAGAAACCTTGTTTCTCTCATAACTCTCTATAACTGGCATACAGACACTCCATATTTATTAATAAGTTAATATCCATGAACAAACTATTTCACATATATAAACTGCTTTAGGTCACTAAATTCTGTCTTAAAGTTATCAATATTTACGTTAATCATTTTGATTACTATCTTTCCCAAACATATAATCCTGAAGATAATTAAAATTTTTGCTGATGACTGATAAATACCATCATGGCCATCTGTTACTGAAGTATTTAGAGTTAGGGGGCTGGAATTAGATTGTAATTGACTTTTTGAGGTCCATAACTCCCCACAGGAACAGTCTAATAGAATTAGTGTATGGCATCCCTCTGGTCACTATTATTGGTTCAGAAGCAAGCAGACTGAAGGGACAAATTTATAGTCCATGCTTGTAGAAGAGAGTCCTCTTTTGTCCCCATTGGTTGTTAGTAAGGACACATGTTGCTCAATTTGATGCTGGCAACTGTTTTGTCCTAAATCTGAAGATAAAGTGGAAAATCCAAGGACTACAGGAGAGAGATCAAAGAAACTTGAGTTATTGGTGACATGAAGGAATCCTGGAGTTCATCCTACCTTTTAAGCTAGATATGTTTTGTTACTCAAGGGAAAAACATCCTAATATGGGATCCTTCATAAAATAACTCTCTTTTTAAAGTTTCTGACTACTTTTTTTTAGGGCATTTCTGGCTCCATTAAAGGTTGTCAGCTCTCACTTCTTGCTGTTCTTGAAAGGATATTATGATATAAATAATAAATGGAGTTCTAGAATAGGACATTAAATCTGGGCTCTCTCTGCTTATTATCTTTGGCTCTAAAAAATCATTTAAACTCTGAGCCTCAGAATTTTTCTCTTTTAAATCACTAGTACCTAAGAGAAAAATTGTATTATCGTCACCATTTTGCCATTTAATTAACATTTAAGTATAGTGGAACATCGGTTCTCGAACTTAATTTGCATACATGTTTGACAAGCGATTTGTTTGAAAACCGAATCATTTTTTCCCATTAGAAATAATGAAAACTGAATTAATCCGTTCCAGACCCCCAAATAATTCCGTTTTATCGAACCTTTCTTATATATAATACAATGTCTAATGTACTGTTTAATCTATAAACACTTCTTAAAGTTATTGAACCATATCTACTAGCCTTAAATGAATTTTTAATATATCACTGCTTCCAAAATGCTACCACTGGCTGTTTTTCATTTATCCAATCAACAACAGTTTTTCTATCTATTCAATTGCCTGTGGTCGTTTTTTTGTGAGCACTTTCACAAACTTAGCAACATAAATACTCTTGATGGTCTTTATGTTTTAAAATTGTGTTAATCATTGATTTCTCCAACAACAAAAGCATTCTCTTCTTTGTTGACTGAGAGACGCTTTTTGTCATGCTGAGGTATGAGCATAAAAGGGTTATCATGTTGAAAACTGAAGTTCTGGTCAACAACAGAGACATTTCTGTGAACAACTTGGTGGAGAATCACACTGTTTGAGATGGGAGATGTTCTAGAAACGAGGTTTGACTCTAATTAGAGGACAGTACTTTACAATCCTGAGAAATTGCAACATTCTTGAGGGAGAGGTATGTTTAAAATTTATTTTTCAATTACAGTCGATATAGTTTTAGGTGTATAACATAGTGATTAGATATTTATATATCTCATGAAGTGATCACCCCGGTTAAGTTTAGTATGCATCTGATACCATACATAATTATGACTATATTCCCTATGCTGTATTTTTTAAATCTTTATATCCTCAGTGCCAGCCACACAGTAGGCACCTAATAATTACTTGAAAAATGAGTTAATGAAATTCTTAATGGTGTAACACAGTACATAATCACTATCAGTTTATTACCAGATTTCCCAAAAAGATATCCATGCATACAATAACACTTTAATTTTTATGTTAAGAGACTTTAATTTTAACAAACTTATTTAAAAAGTCAACCAGTAAGTTATTTTTCTTACAGCAGGCAAACCTTATGCATGTATTGCCCAAGGTCATATTCTCAAATTTACAACAGAATTGTCCATTTAAATCTCACCTGTTAAACCAGCAGGATATGAACTTGGCACCACCGAGAATGAGGAAGATGCTCCTCCAAAAGGTGTCACCCCTGAGGATCCTCCAAATGGTGTCATGGAAAGACTGTTAAAATTAACAGATGTTCCCTTTGCTGAAGATGATGGTGTTGCTGGAGTGGGTTCTGTCCCATAATGACTTGCACTTGTACTGACAGGTTCTGGAGTGTTTTCTGTTCTATATTTAATTGCTGGACTTTTATTCTCTTTACTTTTAATGCAGCCCATTATAAAATCTACAATAGAAATAAGGTAAATACTTTGAGAAGCAGTTAACATAAAGGATATATCAAAAGATGCAATTCAAAAGTTAACTTTAAACAAAGCATTTTTCTCCTGCAAAAAGTAACATTAAAAAAACAAAACAGCCGAAACCGGTTTGGCTCAGTGGATAGAGCGTCGGCCTGCGGACTGAAAGGTCCCAGGTTCGATTCCGGTCAAGGGCATGTACCTGGGTTGCGGGCACATCCCCAGTGGGGAGTGTGCAGGAGGCAGCTAATAGATGTTTCTCTCTCATCGATGTTTCTAACTCTCTATCTCTCTCCCTTCCACTCTGTAAAAAAATCAATAAAATACATTTAAAAAAACAAAAACAAAAACAAACAAAAAAAATAAAAACCAGACAGCTAAAGATGAAATCTCTTCCCCTCATTATCTGCTAAGGCATCATTCCAAATATGTCATTCTCCAACACAACCACTTTTTAAAAAATATATATTTTATTGATTTTTTTACAGAGAGGAAGGGAGAGAGATAGAGAGTTAGAAAAATCGATGAGAGAAACATCTATCAGCTGTCTCATGCACACTCCCTACTGGGGATGTGCAACACCAAGGTACATGCCCTTGACCAGAATCGAACCTGGGACCCTTCAGTCCGTAGGCCAACACTCTGTCCACCAAGCCAAACCGGCTAGGGCAACACAACCACTTTTAATGGTCCAATGAAAACATGCCACAATGAATAGGGAAAAATCATGGGTTCTGAAGCCAGAGAGACCCAAGTTTGAATGCTGGGTCAAACTTGGTTCTCTCTCCACAAATCCTTACTAGTGGAGTCATTTAGATATGTAGCTTAACCTCTCTGGACCTCAGTTACTTGAAAAAGAAGGATAATAATATCACCTACTTCATAAGGTTTTCTGAGGAGTAACTCATTTATTACAAGTTCTAGATAACATCTAGCACATAGTAGGTACTAGCAAATACTGGTTATATTCCAACCTATACCAGCAGTATGTAATAGAAATGTAATCTGAGCCACAATATAAAGTTTCTAGGAGCCACATTAAAAATAATAAAAAGAAACAGGTAGAATTTTAGTAAATTTTATTTAACCCAATGCATCTAAAATATAATTATTTCAACATATCAATATACAAGTTTTTAATGAGATGTTTCATAGGTTTTGTGTGTGTGTGTGTGCGCTAAATCTTAGAATCTGGTATCTATTTTAAACTTACAGTACATCTCAATTTGGGCCAGGCACAATAACTGTATGTAGCTAATGGCTACCATATAGGACAGTGCAGCTCCACATCTTTCACATCTTTCCCCTTCTTTATCCATAGACAATGGATACCCAATTTGACCCCAATCTATCCTTCCAATTTCATCTATTTTTTATTCAAAAAAATATTTTTATTGATTTCAGAGAAGGGAGGGGGAGGGGGAAAGGAGAGGAAGGGGAGGGAGAGAGGAACATCAATTGGCTGCCTCCTATACTCACCCAGATGGGGGATGAACCCGAAACCTGGTATGTGCCCTGATGGGAAATCAAATCCACCACCCTTCGGTGTACAGTATAAATGCTCCAACCAACAGCTATATTGGCCAAGGCTTGAGAAGATTTTTCTATAGAGCAATGTTGGCCAGGGCTTGGGAAAATTTCTATATGAACTCTTGACTTATTCCTTTTTTTTTTGGTGGTGGTGGTGGTGGGGGTAAGGGGGTTTACTGGCCTAATTCCCACCCTATCTCCAAATTACTGGCAATACGTTACTCATTTCTTATACACTATACAACCTATCAATGTGACATGCATACAGTAGGTTTACTAATATTACAAAATCTGCATTTTTTTTCACTTCCTGAAGCAGTAACGGAGATTTCATTAATTCACTTTTTAAAAAATCTTTATTGTTCAGATTATTACAGATGTTCCTCCCCCCCGCCACTAGCTCCCCTCCACCCAGTTCTCACCCGCCTCCCCAGGCCCTCACCCCTCCATGGTCCTCGTCAATAGGTGTAAGATCTTTGCCCAATCTCTTCCTGCACCTCCCACACCCCTTCCCTCCAAAATTGTCAGTCTGCTCCCTTTCCATGCCCCTAATTCTATTACTTTCACCAGTTTATTCTGTTCATCAGATTTTTTATTCATTTGATTTTTAGATTCACTTGTTGATATGTATTTGCCACTTTGTTGTTCATAAACTTTTATCTTTACCTTTTTCTTCTTCCTCTTCTTAAAGAATACCCTTCAGCATTTCATATAATACTGGTTTGGTGGTGGTGAACTCCTTTAGCTTTTTCTTATCTGTGAAGCTCTTCATCTGACCTTCAATTCTGAATGATAGCGAAGTGCGGTTTGCCGGCCACGACTCTAGTCTACTGTTGAATCTGTATATTATTCTTTATTTCAGTCAGTATATGCTTAATTTCTGACTGGTCCTTTTCCATTTTTTGGCATTCTCACTAATATCCTTGAAGGTCTCACTAAATTCCTCACAGGTTTCTAGAAGATTCTTGAGTAACCTTATAACTGTGGTTTTGAACTCTATATCCAGTATTTTGCTTTCTTCCATTTTTTTTTCATTTGTGACATGTTTCTTTGTCTCTGCATTTTGGCTGCTTCCCTGTGTTTGTTTTATATGTATTGGGTAGCTGCTAAGTCTCCTTGAGTTGACAGAGTGGCCTTGTGTGGTAGAGATGTCCTTAGGGCCCAGTGGCTCAGCCTCCCCAATCACCTGAGGTGGACACTCTTGGTGCAACCCTTTGTGGGCTGTGTGCACAGTCCTGTAGTAAAGCCTTGATTGCTGTTGGTGTCACTGGGAGGAATTGACCTCCAAGCCAATTGGCTGTGAGAACACCAGCTATGTCTACAATGGAAGAGCTGCTGTGCAGGAGATACCCTTATGGTGCAGGACTTGCTTCAGTGGGGCTTTGGTGCTCACTGAGTCTGCACCTTCAGTGTGTCACTTATGGATGTGAAGAGTTGTAATCTGGTGTGGTCTCACACTGACCACTGGATACACTGGCTCTTGGATCAGGAGGTGCAAAGTCAGGCACTGCCTGGGGCCACCCAGCAAGACCTACAGAGAGGTCTGCAGATTCCTCCTCTTTGTATTGGGTTTGGAAGTGCCCAGAGAGGCCCATCTGTGAAGCAAGGTGCTGGTTCTTGGGGCTTCTTTTGATAGTATTGAAGCCCCCTGACCCAGCTGCTGCCTGTTTATGACAGGTCTAAGGCTGAGAAAGCACAGGCCATTCATATGCAATAGCCACTGAGCATAGCTTGGTTGGGGTTGTAAATTGGGTGGGGTGGGGTCTCAGGGAATCCCTAGGGTGGAGCAAACAGCAATGGCTGCCAGTCAGCCCTGCACCAGAGAGATCCCAGCACAGGAACAATGACCGCTGCGAGCACCTATGTCTGGAAAGCCGCCCTCGTGCTCCTGCCCCAATGCCAGACAGTCCAGTTTCTCCCCGTATGTGTATGGGTTCCCCAGAGTCTCACCGGGAACTGGAGTTCAGAGCAAGCGGGAGCTTGTATCTCCCTCCGGATTAAAAAAAGCAGCGCACCCTGGTGCCAGCCCATTCCACGCCTCTGTACCTCCTACCAGTCTCAAGGTGCTTTCTTCACCTCTCTTTGTAGTACTTCCACTTAGCCAGCTTTCCCGCAGTTCTTGATGATAGTCGTTCTGTCTTTTAGTTGTAATTTTGATGTGGTTGTGAGAGGCAGCAAATACAGGTGTTTACCTCTGCCGCCATCTTGGTTCTCTCTAATTCACTTACTTTTAAAAGTCATCCTTCTTTTACAGATTTTCCCTTCTTATATGGCATTCAAAGGGGAAGTGAGTGATAAGATGTGTGCCTCCTAAATTCTGAAAAACAACCTAGACCAGTGGTTGGCAAACTGCGGCTCGCGAGCCACATGCGGCTCTATGGCCCCTTGAGTGTGGCCATGAAGTTTCAATCGCACTATACATGCGCGCCCGCACGTGGTATTTTGTGGAAGAGCCACACTCAAGGGGCCGCAGTTTGCCGACCACTCACCTAGGCTATACAACA